CAGAGTTTATCTAACTTCTTTCTATTTCATCATGACCTTATTTTTGGTTTCACATTGGTAAAGAATACTAATATTTTACAATTATCTAATGTAATATTTGTATATAGTATTTGTAATGACTTATAATATTTTATCTTGCTTTATTTTAATGCTTCATATGTAATGTGCACAATATGAGTGCTCAAAGTCATGGGGTCATTCATAGATAATTCAATGTTTCAATTCAGTGTTTCAGTCCTGTTCTCTGTCCCTTGCAGAACGGAAGTTAGAATGCTGTTAATCCTCCCCTTGAGGCCTTTCTGAATGCTCATTAGAGATTGTTTTTGTAAGCAAGTGATTGAGAAACAAGGGAGATCAAATAGTCTGTCTTAGGTGATTAGGGGCCAACAAGAGAAGATAAAGAAACCTGAAGTATTATGGGAAGAGCTCAAGGTATCCATTTCATGCTGCTTCTTTGCTTCATCAGCACACGTCCTTTTTTATATACTAATATTTTTATTTTATTTTTAATTTCAATTTATTCATTTTACATCCTGGCTGTAGCCCCCTCCCTCCTCTCCTCCAGGTCCCAACCTCCCTCCATTTCCCCCCTCCCCTACTCCTCAGAGAAGGGGAGTGCCCACCCCGGGCCCCAGCATATCAAGTCAGCACACATCCTTTTAATTAGTTGTGTGTGTGTGTGTGCGTGCTCACTTTGTGTGATGTGCCTGTGTGTGCCCTTGGCATGGAAGCTCAGGTGATATCCTCAGTTATTCTCTACTTTGCTTCATCCTTTTTTGAGACTCTCTCACTGAATCTGATGCCGAGAACTAACCAGTTGGCTAGGCTGCTTGAATTCCAGGGAACCTGCCTCCCCAACTTGCAACTCAAAGCTATGTCACCTCATGGATTCTAGAGATCTGAACTCAGGTCCTCCTCCTTGGGCCCACAAGCAATTTACCCACTAAGTCATCTCCCTGGCCCTTGGTATGCTCACTATATCTTTTCTTAATTATGCATGTACAACTTAGAAATAGGCTGTGGTTCTCAGTGAGGACACTGTCACCAGTTAAAAGTGCTTGTCAGGTAAAGCTTGGTGCAGTTAATGGAATGCTCATGTCTTTCATCAGATTCATATGTTTAACCCCACTATGGTGTTATACGGAAATGGGGCCTTTTGGAGTTGAGTGGGTGATGGGAGCAGAAGTATAAGGAATGGGATTGGTGCCTTAAAAGAGAGAAACCGAGAGCCCCCTTCTTCCTCCAACAGAGGACACAGAAGGGAAATGACCATCCATGAGGAAGGGTTCCCCTGTTGGACTTGGCTTTCCCCTAAGATGCTTTGCAGAGATGGCTAACCTGAAGAAATAATTTAGTTCACATCTTGTTATGCCTCCTGACTTGCCTTCACTTTCCTCAATATATTCCAGCCTCCCTTCCAGTATATGGGAAGATGGCTACTTTCTGCCAGATATGTGAGTCTGTTAGTCACTGGGTGGAAGAAAGTAACCACTATTCTTACAGCTATCCACTCATTAATTCAGTATTACAATAGACTCGCCTCGGATGGCTTCTAATACAAATCTCCCATCAACATCCAAGTTCTTCTAGGGCAGAATTTCTGACCCCTAATGATATAGTCATCTGGACGTATCTTAGTTGTAGAGGCCCTTCCTGTGCACTGTTGGACCTTACCAGCATCTTTGGTCTCTCCACACACTAGGTGACAAGAACATTCCCCATTTCTAATCATCACAAATGTGTCCCTACCTTGCCAAATGTCCCGTTGGAGGGACACAGTCTTCAAAGTGAGACGCACCATGGGAACACATAAAAATATTTTATTTCTAACTTTTTCTATGATATGCTTCTTTTCAAAATAAGTTGTTATCTGCTATGGCAGTGTTGATCCAGAACTTTTGCCCTTTGCCACCTTCTAGGAGTGTTTGGCTGTTACACCCAACTGTTCTGTTATCTACCGCTTAGTTGGAAAGATACCTAATGCATGCAAGGGGATGATAAATAGTATTTTCTTCTCCCTCTTCATCTTTTCTTCCCTTTCTTGACCCAGTCTTCAGGTTACATTGGGTTTTTCATCTGGTTATAACTGAGAGATTCATGGCCTTGGGAATCTGGGTTGATTGTAGTTTCATGAATCCTGGGGATCAAAGTTGACTTTATCTTCTTTGTAGGCTTTGTTAATGTCCAGTTCATTTAATCAACTGACTCTAGAGTTCCACTCAAGGGTAGTTGTAGAATAGAAAAGAGCATGTTCAGTGTGACCCCAGCTTATCCGCACATACATGTGAGCACACGGGATGTACATTCTCATGAGCACATGCCTACACGAGCACACACAACTATTTAATAAAACTCTTGAGGGATTTATTTTAAAGCATAACAATCAGCTATCGAGGCTGATTTCTCCTTTTGACCATTTCTATTTTTTGTGCAATAAATACATTATTGTTAAATTTAAAAAATGAAAAAAATGCTTTAAAGAGTCATTCTCGAGCTCTCTGAAATTTAATGAAAGATTTGGCACCTGTCTAAGGGTGTTAATAGTAATAAGAGTTTGATTGAAATGGCATTTATTTTTAGAAGACACAGGATGACTGAGTCATCCATCGTATTTTAGGGGGAGGGATGAAACAGGAAACCCCAAAGGAACAGGTGAAGATTTGCTAGGCTGATTTCTGTCTTGTGCTCCAAGTTTTATGGGTCAAGATATATGGATGCGTGTGAGGTCAGATGGAACTTTCCTGAGCTCCTGGGGTGGGGTTAGAGGTGCTGAATTTAGCAGTGAGCTAAAGCTCTGAACCACACAGCGAGTCACCCAGCAGAGAGTGGCTAGTGGATCTTGGGACTGTGTATATTTGAAAGCTGTCCAGGGAGTACATTGTGTTCCTAGAGCATGTTGGGCTTGCCTGTCTCTGAATGGCTTGAACACCAAACACTTCCCTGAAACTCCATTGGCTGCTGAGCTGGCTCACCTGCCATGGTCTCCAGAGCCTTAGTGAGCCAGAACTCACAGACACAGTCACTGTGTACTTTTAGAAACTGGAGTGAGCTTTCCTCAGGGAGAGATTTAGGGCTGCATTGGGTGCATACTCTTTCTCATCACATATCATCACATCACATCTCACCCTAAGATTTTCTTAGGAGCCTCGTTAGCTGATTGTCTGTGAATGGTGAAGGGGGAAGAGTGGACAAATGGAGATAATTGACTTTTGACTACATAATCTGATCAACTATATGCTTATCAACAAGTCTGGGTGATATAGAAGGCAGTGTACAGGCTTGGGGGGAGATGCGTCGGACCCTAAATTCAACTTCTGTCACATCCTACTTCACTTCTCATATGATGAAGAAGCTATGCAGCTTCTCGCAGCTCTGATTTCCTCACCTATAGAGTGGGATTCCTCCTAGATTTGCTGTGAGGATAAAGACACAGAACATGGGTAAGAACAGCCCGAGATATAGCAGCTGCTTAATTTCCTTTCTCTCTGGTCACTTTTTGGATCTGTGATTGACAAGTAGCATCAATGACAAACTCACAGAGAGTAAGGATTTCAGGTTTAGTGGACCAAGACAGAAAACTGAGGGTACTACGCCAATGCTTATATCACAAAGAGAAAACATGTTTCTTCTAGTTTTCATTGATGAAGGTAAGAATATGAGCATAAAAGTGATTCATAAATTTCTTCTAATATAAACCCTCTAATATAAGATAAAATGGATATAAATGAAGATATATTTTTTTTTTTTTTTTAGGAAATAACATTTCACTTAATTAAGGTTCAAAGTTAAGGCTTCCTGTCAGTAAGCTGATTGCTGCTACTTTATGTACAAACCATTCTTGTAGGAAATCCAATACTAGAGAGCAGACTGAATTTGTTCTATAGCAGATCCTTATTGCAGGACATCATTTTATTTCTAAGGCCAATCTCTGCTTGTTCTCTTACTGTCATCATTGGTAATGAGTGAATAATTTGAAACAATTGATACATAAATAGTTCTTAAAGAGTTACCTTCTGGATAGGAGGTTGAAATAATTAATTCTTTAAATAAATGGACTCTGAGAAGCTGTCAGAGTAGTTAATCTTTTGTAATCAAACAATTCTTTAAATAATAATCCCCTTTGTGGCCAAAATCTGGAAGAGAGTGGGAGGAATTATCAGGCCACACCAACTGACCACCTACAAAGAGAGATCAAACAGTACATAGTTAGAATGCAGGAAAGGCCGGGCCTGTTTGCAGCGATGATGGAGCAGGACTTAGGTCCCTTCCTGCCGGCCTTCCAGTGACCTGGGTGGACAGATGCAGATGATGGAGTGAGTGACTGAATAGTGCTCAGGTGAGAGCAAGACCATAACAGTCTGTGTGGTGTATTCTTCCCTCAAGGGACCACATCTCCGGGGAGAACTGTAGATAGTAGAAATTATCCAGCGAAACAGAGGAAACCCCAGTGGCCGTTGAAGCAATAAGACATGTTGTTGAACTCATAGGCCAAGAAAGGACCATGTTTCAGAATATTTGACAGATATGGATGTGGGTTGAAACAGATGGATCAGGAAGAGATATATTAGAAAGGACCCAAGTATAAATGGTAGCTCTTTGCTATTTGTGTGGCAGAAAAGGATGACCCTCTGTGGCAGGAGTTTTGAAATTCACTGAGAGGCCAATCAGTGATGGTAAAGTTCTTTAGAATAAGTATTTAAAAGGCTCAAGGCAGATGCTCATAACTTACAACTTTTGTAACTAATTAACTTGTTGGAAAATAGCCACTTCTGAGGCAGAAGTATTTTATGATGTGTTACTTTGGCTGAAGAGTAATATTTAAGTAAAGAGGAGTTAGCAAACAGGCTTTGGTGGTAGATTTTAAAATACTCTTCGGAGTTGATGCAAACAATTATCTCTTCTTTGTGTGTCAAGATAACACAGACACATGTTTCATATTTTAAAAAACTAATACATTGGAATAAAGCACAGTTTACATAAATGCTAAAGAAAAGTAGAAGTACTTTCAAGCAAAATTTATTAGGTATCTACTCAAGAAAAACACAATGACCATTGCTTGTAAGAATTCAAAGTCAATTACCTGAAAGCCAGGTATGAATATTTTTTCCTTTTAAAATCAGATACAGAGAGTAGAAACAGCATTTTTTTCTTAAATATAACAGGCAACAGAGTTGAAGATTTGTTTTCATAAATGGTGTGAAAAAGTATTCATTTATCAGCAAAGCTGCACGTGGCTGGCTGACTCATTTTCCAATCCCAAGTTTTTCTAATATAAAGCTGGTTGTGAACTGGATAGTAAAGGGGGTTTCCCAAAGGTATTCCTTTATCTCCCTCTACCCCTAACAATGTTCCTCTGTAACTGACATTCATGTGCATTTCAGATTGGCTACTAAGATCTTTTCAATTCATAGAATTTTGTGTAGATGCTATCTTCCAGGGTCACCTTAGCTTGTGATCTATGAAGATAGCGTAAAGGGCAGTCTGCTGAAAGAGTTTAAAACTCGGTTTAAGTGCAGGAGAAAGACCAAATTGGGAAATCCCATTTTCTGAATAAGTAAATAGTCTGTACAAAACAAAGAACAAACATATGTACAAAATGCTAGAGTCTATATGTTGTGTAAGATCAAGCATTGCCCATGTGAGGAAAGCCATAAAAAGTTTTGTCTATAAGGTGCTAAAGATTCAAAGATGAATGTATCTTATGCAAATTCATTCGGAATACAAAGCTAAGTCTCAGGGTGTGTGGAACGCAGGCACTGTGTATCCATTAAATCTTTCAGGTTTGGTAGCATTTTGTAGGTCTGTTTTGGGGCAGGAAATGACTTAACCTGAATGACTTAACCATTATTTCTAGAAGCGCCTAATTTGTTCCTAGGAAGTACTTTACATACACCGGAAAAATCAGGCTCAACATATATATTCCTGTCTGCAAACGGAGTCAGGATTCTGGGTTCCATAGAAGAAAAATAATTATTGTAGTAAAAATAATTGTATTGATCATAATCCTTGCTAAAGCCAGCCTTAACACTCAGGGTGCTCCTGAAGTACTCTATAAAATAATGTGGGATTCTTTTACATTTCCATAAAATGTACAACATAGCGTTTGAACTATATGTCCTCATACAACCTCAAACACGTAAGTGGACACGCAGTGAGACTAACCTACTGATATTACTGTCATCTCTTTGCCTCTCTCACTAACACTTTTGAGTTTTAACAGATAAATAAAACACTAAGAGCTCATTGTTCATGATGCTGATGATTACATTTTAATATAAAACAGCAATGCAAATTTACAACACGATTTGTCCTGTAGCGTGGCTAAACCTTTTGTACTCTCAAGGTAGTGAGCAACAGCTCTTATTCACTCACTTTGCACTTCTAAAGTACAAAAAAAAAAAAAAAAAAAAAAGTGGTGGTGGGGGAGTGGCAGGAAAGACTCCTATGTGAAAATTCAATGGAATCAACAAAAATCTCACCCATTCCAACTAACTTTCCTACTCACTCTAGATTTTGTAATCACTGTGCATAAAACAATATATAAGTGCAGGCAAATGATAGCTGAAGTATAGTTGTCATATAGTGTAAACCAGAGAGAGCACTAGGAAAATACACTGCCAAGCTGAGAGTGAAAATGCAAACCATAGCATTTCAGAAAACGATCTTCTGGCTTCCTGAGGACAGAACACCTTCCGGAGAGGTGGAAATACAGCCACGAGACCAATCTCCTAAGTAGTCTTATTTCTTTTTTCACCATCTTTCTTTCTTTCTTATTTATTTCACTGTCTTTAAGTATGACGACTTTCATTCTGATTCCATACACAAACATTTCAAAGTTCAGGGCAGAAAGCAAGAAACTGCATATTTATGTGGGTGTAAGTTTGCCACATCTCCCTAAAGCTCCCAGCTTCCCCTAAGGCTCACAGTGGCAGTCACTCTGCTGGTGATTTGGTGGCAGCAGGTGGAGATGGTGATGGCCTATTGGAAACCATAAGGCATGACAGCAACAGGCCTGCTGGGATGTTTCAGGTGAATTATGCAGATGTGCTTCTGAAATGCGGCGTAAATAAGGAGTGAGGTGATTCACAGCCTCTTGACATAGTTTCCCGGGAAAGTACCAAAGAATTTGGTTCTTCTTGAAGTCCCTGAAAACAGAAGCAATAAATGAAAAGGTGTGTAACAGCAATGGAATGTCAGGTACTATGTCAGCTTCAACACTTTCTGCCTACAAGGGTACACTGTGAAAGCAAGCTCTAAATAGTTTGGGAAGGAATAAAGACAACTTGCATTAAGCCAATAAGAGGAAGTGGGCAATTTGATTGTCTTACCCGTTTCATGAGCATAAAGGATAGATTTCCACCACACTGAGCTAAATCGGGAAGCCTGGCCACTCAATCTAGAGAGGAAGACAATTGTGCAGAAGAGCTGCGTGGTAGGACTGAGGTTACCAAGATGCCAAACAAGGAGTAAGAGATCACGGTGAGGTTTCCGGTGGGACAAGATGACTGATAAGGCACAAGAGTCAGGGTTGGTTCAGGAGCAGGGGGCCTCCTCTGTAGTGAGTGACACATTGGTCCCTACAGGCGATGCTGCCAATACCACAAATGTTACGACCTCAAGCCCAGTGCTAGGTCCCTCAGTAAGAAAGCACTGTTACGCTTCCTCACAACATATAGAAGTCTGAGCAACTTAAAAATCACTAAATTTAAAAATGTGGAAGGCTGGCTGCTACTTGTCTGGGCGTGTGGTAGAAAGTTTAACCACTGAGAGTGACTTCTAACATGGCCAGTGAAAACCAAGTGGCCACCCTCATGGCCACCTTTGCTTTCAAACATCACAATTCTTTGGATACTTTTTCATTAAGTCCTGTACAATTAAATTCGTTTGTATTTTATCACAGCAGCCTGGGTAGGGCCTCTAAGATTTCACTTCTCTTTAACATTCTATAATTTTTTTGATTTGGTTTGCTTACGATTGCTGCAAACCATGTATGTAAACCACCTCTTTTTTTCTTCTAGATGGCAATTAATAGAAGCGACAGGCCCTGACACATGTGTCTGCCGACACGGCTCTCATCATTTCACCTCTGCTGAACTAGTCTAGAGAAAGATTTCATTCTCACATAGTTTTTTTAATTTTATGTGTATTGGCATTTTGCCTGAATGCCTGTCTATGCATTGCATGTACATGGGCTTATGGAGGCCAGAAAGGATCCCTGTGGAGCTGGAGTTATAGACAGTGAATAGCCACCATGTAGGTGCTGAGAATAGAACCCACCTACTATTTATTTATTTATTTACTTATTTATTTACTTACTTATTTATTTATTTATTTATTTATTTATTTATTTATTTCCTTAATTTTCCCCTCTTTCCTTTGTGTCTGGCTATATACTTTTGTCTACAAATATTTTCTTAGAAGAACTCATGCTGTCTCCTCCTCTTCATCCTCCTCCTTGCTCCCCCCCCGCCCCCCCCCCCCCTTTGCGCTGGTAACTGAAGAGTTGAGCAGTGGAGAAAGTTAAGCATGTGCTCCATGATCGAGCTTTCAGTCTGTAAGATGGTAACTATGGGCTTGCCTTTGAAGTGGCATGGGAGTTAGTTGTCCCTTCCCTTAGACTTCCCAGATTGCCGCATCTGAACCAGCAAATGGGTCAGCTTTCCTTTCCTCTTGCTCCCCATCAAATGACAGCTCCCCTGTCGACTCAGATTTCCCACTGAACATAGCAAGGTATGTTTTTGTTTTTGTGATATCACATACATTGCTTGTTGGATGCTATTTAAAGAAACGTCCTTAGTTGGGTTGAAATAAAACTAGCAGAAAATGACGTATAACTGAAAGAAGTAAATGCTGTACTGTATTAAAATGCAGTGGCTTTGGAAGCATATCGTACACCATGAATTCAAAGAGAGATCGATTATCACCATGAACCATGCACGTGAGCAAACTCAGATAAATGATGAAAACAGCTAAACAGAAGCACATACCCACGAACCATCCATCGTCACACTTCTCCATCACATCCACGACGTCACTTTCTCTGAGTTCCAGCTCATCTTCATTCCTAGGAGTATAGTTATACAGAGCCTGAAACCTTAAACGGGACAAAGGGGCACATTTAATTCACTTCACATCCCCGTGAAATTGTACAAGTTAGTACAACACTCATTTCAGCTTCAACATTTCTAATATTTATATGTGATGTTAGGCCGTGTCTAAGTTTTTGCTAAACATGTAAAGTCAACAGAAACATTCAGATTCTCATGGGAATCACAGCACTTTAGCAACATTTCAAAACTTACAATGAGAAATATTCAGAGATTATAATATTCTGAAATCAGGTAAAAGATTTCTGATATTTGTAGGCCAGACTTCCCTTTAAATTTTATAGACACACAATGTCTATCATTCAGATGCTACATAACAATGTAGAATACAGAATTAACTAATGGTATTTGTATTATGCAGGTATACTTACAACAAGAGGGATTACAGGTTTAGCTAGCCATAGCCATAAGTAAGTAATGGCGGCTTGGAAATGGAACTCATAGATGATCTAAACTGAATTGTACAGAATGTTTCAAACATACATTTTGTAAACAATGATGTAATAATTACTATCAAAAGACTATGTTTATCACAGGATTCCTTTAAAGCGACTAGTTTTATAATATGAATTAGGATTTGAAATGTGATGACTTCATGCAATTCTCCTATGGCCTCAAGTCATAGGTAAAAGCCCTGAGGCTTTATGCATGGCCATCCCTTATCCTGCTAAACTAGTAGTTCATGGACTTTAAAAAATGTATCTGGGAGCCAGGCATGGTGACGCACACCTTTAATCCTAGCACTCCAGGATGCAGAGGCAGGCCGAGCTCTGTGTAGCCTGGTCTACAGAGTCCAGAACAGCCAAGGCTACACAAAGAAACCCTGTCTCAAAATAGAAAAATGTGTCTGGGAAAAAAAAATTGTGTTTGAATTAAAAAGTCTCCTTTGGAATAATTATATGTGAGAAATAATTACTGAAAGAATTCTGCCATTTTGTTTTTTTGTTTTTGTCTGAACTCTTTGAAAGAGAGAGAGATGGTGACATTGACCGGTACTGTATTTGAATACTGAATCTATTTGACATTGACTTTTGTGACTATTAGCATGGACTGCCACTTTGGAAAGTAAAGACTGACATTATAGAGGCTAAGAAAACCAGGAAGAATTTTACATGTAGTTAGTGGGAAAATTTCATGATATAACCTATCACTTGTATAATTGGAAGATTAAAAGGGCTGGTTTGTTTCCATTGCTTTTTATAACTGTCATATAATTGTGCTAATGTAAAAAAAATAGTAACATTCTGGGGCACTTTGGATTTATTTCAGGCCACCATGAAAAAGTAGGTGATATTGAATTATCATCTACTTTGTAACAAGAATGCTTTATTTCTAATTACTTTATTGATTTGGAAAAAAATCCCACTTTGGTAGAATAAAGTTATTCTAGCACTTGAATTCAAACACTGCTCTAAATGTGCAATAGCCTTTCTGGCTCCCTCTGCTCTTGAATGTCTCCTGATCATGGCACACACGTGTGTAAAATTGGCTTCAGAGAGTTCTAGGAAAGAGCTTTGCCTTTCCATAAACCCCATCTTTCTCAGCAGGGGACCCAACTCTAAAATCCCCACATTAGAGATGTCTTCCCTTAACAGTGTTCTCTTCTAATGGGCAATTTTAGCCATTTATATATTTTGAGCCATTTGTAGTCTTCTGAGGTCTTTTGTTGGTAGAGACTTCAGCTTGTGGTCAAGGATTGAAAACAAAGCCAGGCCCTAGAAGAGGTAGCAAGTAGGGGCCACCTCACTAACATGCTTGCCTGGGGGCAGCCTGAGGAGAGAGGAAAATCACTTTGTTGTTTGCTGTGTTGGTTAGTGTCTGAGGCTGATCAGGTGGTAGAATGATATAATTTTGGATGTTCAAAGGGAAAGGGAATATCAGCAAGGCCTCTTGTCTATTCTCAAGCTGGAGGGACATGGTCATCCCCGGCTGGTATGTAAATGGATGAACTATGCAGCCACTTTGGGGAAGTGGATTCTCTCATTCCATTTCTCAGTCTCTTGCCTGAGGCGGATCTCCAAACACTTACAGGCCTGTTTAAGGCTACAAACTCCAGCTGCTTGATGACTCCTGAGGTCTCCAGAGCTAACAACCCAGCATTGGCATGGACTCCCAGCTCATTTTTATATGACGAAAGCCAACTACACTTGTCAGAATTTATTTACCATAGTGGTTTAATTAGATCACACACACACACAAGGGTTTTTATGGAAACATAAACAAACCTTCCTGGAAATTCTTCTACCTCTGCTGTTTTCAAAATCAGTGTTTCAGGACAGGAAATGCAGCCCAATTAAGATTTAAAAAAAAAATGCTGCTTTGAAAGATATTAGAGAGATGGAGGTAGGGGTGGGTAGGTCAAGACTGCCTCAAAAATAAATGTCATTTAATTTCTCTATAACCTTCACTTTTTATTGTCCCTTAACTGAACCATAGCAACATGGCTTAGGTTTTCTACTTTTGCTTCAGAAAATGTTAGCAATTAGCTAACATTCCATAATCCCTCTAACTAAGGCTGCAACGAAACATAAATTTGATAAAGAATAGTGTCTAGAGCAAGGCTTGAAAGTGTATGTTCCCCCACTTTTGGGCTCTGTGATTTTTAGAACAACCAAATGGCCACAGCTGCATATGAAAGAACAGAGTACAGCACAACACAACTTGTTTATATGCCTCAAAAGCTGTTAAACAGAACACGCTCTCAGTGCCATCACTCTAAACAGCTTTGGAGAGTAATTTTGTGATTTAATCCTATCATTGTGTGCACATGTAAAAGAACAACAGGAACATTATTACAAGTTGTTCCAGTAATTTTCTCCAGTTAAGTGGGGTTTTTTCCAGTGGTCATTGCTTCTAACCTAGTCTATTTGTGGTAGGGACTTCTTTAGAAGAATGCCATCCTGGCCATACTGCATGAGAGGCACTCCAGAGAGGTGCCAAAGGACCTATTTTCAACCATGAAGAACAAAGAGGGACCCTTGGAGCTGAAAACACCAGTTACACATGAGGGTCTGCCCACAAGGAGTTGTCTTTGGTCTGTATGTTTTTTACCAAGTGAGCAGAGCTTAGGCAGAAAGCTTAGGTGTACCAGGCAAGGTGAGGATTATGGGTGTGGCCCCTAGATGGCTCTTTTGACTCAGCATAGGCAGAACTCAATAGGAAGTGAAGCATCCTCTTCAATCTATCTATCCATCTATCTATCTATCTATCTATCTATCTATCTATCTATCTATCTATCTATCTATCATAAACTTGGCCATAGAAAGACAAATGAGACTCTTAGTGACAATGTGTGGTACTTTTGTGTTTCTTTAATGTATGTATCAGAAAGTCAAGGGGATGTGGGAGGAACATTTGAAAAGGCACATTCTTGGTGTGGTGGACATTGTGTCATGCATCTGGACAGTAGTGAGTGCTTTAATAATACTATTTTCAAAAGCCATTCTGAAGCATGTGTGATAATTTTGGAATTGTACTACTAAAGCAGGCCTTAGGTATACTTCTGAAGCATTCAAATAAATAGAAAAACAAAGTTGTGGTTACCGGTTACACAGTCAGCAGAGGAAGAGACAGATTTATACATTGTAGGAGTCACCGCATCCCTGGCAGGTTTTCCTGGTGCATGAAATGTTTTCCGTTTTTTATTTACTTATATTTTTATTTTTTGTGTATAAGTGCTTTGCTCACACAAATGTATCTGCACCATATGAGTGCTTGCTACCCAAGGAAGATAGGGGAGGATACTATTGGATATTGGATACTCTGGAACTGGAGTTATAGACAGCTGTGAGCTGCCATGTGGGTGCTGGGAATTGAACCCGGGTCCTTTGGAAAGGTAGCCAGTGCTCTTAACCACCGAGCCATCTCTCCAGCCCTTCTGTTTTTCTTTACACACTAGCATCTGATCTCGTTCGTAATGAAGGACATTGGGAGCCCTTGTACTGCAGACCCCATGTTTGCTATTTCATCCCTTCTCGTTACAAAGTCTACTGTCCTCTGGTGTCTACTGGGTACATATATTGTCCATCCTGTGGGTCATAGTCTTGGGTTTAGAAGATAAAGATAATACTTACGGTTCCCCCCCACCTTGAAGGTTTTCATGAGAGAAGACAGGACGCTGTGGCTGAAATGAAATGATTTTCATGTCAGTGTTTGAACTGGTATCATGAAAAGGTAATTTGGGTAATAACATGGTACTTTTCTTGACATTTAATATTTCCTGTTGTAAAAAACCAAGAGGAAGAAAAAAGAATCCGCCAAATAAAGGGTTTGTATACACTTAATAATTCAAGTATTTTGAAGGGTGCTTTAAGTCAAAATAGCCAAGGTTCAAACTTTTGAACACACCCACAATCTGGTCTCTTCAAGCTTTAAGGGGAAGTTGAGGTTTAGTCCCATTGATTTTTCCAAGGTCAGGAATACGGCAAGAACGAGGACATTAAACCACAAGAGCAGGGAGGCTAGACATCTTCCCTCAACCTCAGTCTCCAGCGCTTTCTCAGAGAAAGCGGAAGGAAGCCATGTCTAGCAGTAACCACATCCACTCCGAGGTTTCCCTCCACAGATGACATCGTGACACATGGTACAGATGAAAATGCCAACAGCTGGACACCCCATGCTGCACTGGGATTGAAATTCTCTCCTCTCAACAGGGCGAGGGCTGGGGCAGGGGGAGGAAACACATGCAGCTTTCAAAAGGGAACACAGAGAACTTTCAGAGGAATGCAACGGACAATATCCAGGTAACAAATAGTGCTTTACCTTAGAAGAGAAATATTGGTAGAAATCCCCAGTGCACTGAACTCTGAAAAGAGTTTCCTTTCTTTTTAAACTAAGCATCAAGACCAGTATCTGTAATAGATACTTATAATATTGGAAATGACAAGCCTTGGCATCCTGTATAGCCACACAAATACTTCAGAGAATGAAATTTCATACATTGGTTGAACATGGAAACTTGGTGTAATTTATATCAATCACCTACATCATACATTTTAGGGGAAAGAGATGCACTTGACCCTTTCACATTTCAAATATTTTCTGCTAAATGACAGCTACCTGCTGACATAACAAAGTCAGAGCGTGGACTCTGATAATGGAATTAGTTATTAGGGCTGTATCTTCAGACTTCAGGACCAGTGTTTGGATACACATAATTGTTGTTGAGTATCATATGATAGATTTTTCCCTGAAACTGTCCATAGAAAGCTCAGGTCCAGGGAGAAATGGGAAGCCCTGGGGTTTCATTCAATATGAATCTGCGAACAGGCCTCTTCCTAAATTTATCCACCATTTTCCAACATACACTGTCTACTTGGTGCAGATTAGGTATTTTCAGTGTGTTAGGTCTATTCATTGGGGCATTTGTTGACAGTACTCCACGAATTTCTTTCAACATCTTCGCATGGAATATATAAACCCAAAACTAAAGGGTGGATAAGAATTATAGGCCACATAGATGATTTACTCCTATAAGTCAGAATAAAATTCCTAACGGTATTTAAACTTGTAAACTTGTAAAATGACATTATTAAACATAAAATGTTTAAGGATAAATTATATATATTTTTTAAGGATAATGAAGACAAAGCTGGGTGTGGGGTACATGCAGTTAATCTTAACATTCTGGCAGCAGAGGCAGGCAGAGCTTAGTGAGTTCAAGGCCAGCCTAAAAGGGCTGCATGGGGAGTGCCTGCCTAAAATAATAATAATAATAATAATAATAATAATAATAATAATAATAATAAT